CCATGTGCTACACTCGCCAGGAACTTAAAGCGGAGTTCAGGTCAAAAATGTTCTCTCCAATATTGTGTTCTATGCTGCCCCTTTAGTTTGAAGACGATATTCAGATTAAAAATTGTGATTGTGAAATATGAATTAAGCAACACAGTCCACCCATTTTCTTCCATCTCAGCTGATGGGCATTTTGTTGCTGTCGACTGACATCACAGTGCCCAAAGGCTCAGCTTGGGACGGCCACATGACCAGGAATCATGATTGATTACCTGAACCATTATTATTTGCTCCTTAATTCATATTCCATAAATGCAATATTAAGCTTGATTAGACAAATAGGTGTGCATATAACATTTTATTGGAAAGAACATTTTTGACTTGACTTCATGTTTAAAGAGTCCAAATGTAATGAACTGAAAACCATGACCACAAAACCAAGATACAAACCGAATCTTGGATTTATGTGATTTATTAAATTTGACTGCTTGTCGATAATTTCTTTATAGAATGTGCTATTTCATTGAGTTTTGAAATTTGGGTCCTGCTAGTGACAAACTGCTACTGTATGTGTGCAGTGATAAGCTTGACTCTTTAATAGCTGTGTTTGAATGGTTTTCATCGCGTCCATCCATCCATTATCTGAACTGCTTTATCCTCACGAGGGTTGCGGGCGTGCTGGAGCCCGTTCCAGCTGTCTTTGGGCAGTAGGCAGGGTACACCCTGCACTGGTTGCCAGCCAATCACAGTATCATACAGTCTTCTACCTGAAATTTTTACACGAACCAAGGCCAAATCTCTGTCATTTGAGGGTTTTTGTTATGTTGACCTTTACCTGGACATCAAGTAGGTCATTAAAATAACATCACTGGACACTATGCCAAGACAACAATCGAGTTAATATGTTGTGGTAATAGCTATGATGCAAATATTTTGAGGATTATGTGTGTACGAGAGGCCTTAGAAGCAGACAGCCACACTCACTTACATTCCAAAGAGCAATAAAGAGATACAGGATTGTGGGGGGAAGCTGTCTTGCTAAGAGAAAATCTCGCCGATGCAAAGAACGTGCAATTATCACTCAGAAATGGTGAAACAACACAGGAGCTATCTTTCTAAAATCGAAGTTGTAACTCTCAGGTCATTGTGCCACTGTTTGAAATAAAGTTTTCTGCCCTGGCCTTAGACAGCAAAGGATAAATGATACAAAGATAGCTCCATAAGAGTAACTGAACTGAAGTGAACTGGAATTTGTCCCAAGGAACGTGTCAGTCCTCTTCTTCAAATATTCAGGGATATCACTCAGAAATGGTGAAACAACACAGGAGCTATCTTTCTAAAATCGAAGTTGTAACTCTCAGGTCATTGTGCCACTGTTTGAAATAAAGTTTTCTGCCCTGGCCTTAGACAGCAAAGGATAAATGATACAAAGATAGCTCCATAAGAGTAACTGAACTGAAGTGAACTGGAATTTGTCCCAAGGAACGTGTCAGTCCTCTTCTTCAAATATTCAGGGATTTCTTAAAAAA